ACTGGATCTCAACGGCCATCTATCGACCGGACGCTCCAGCATGAACTGACCGGACGCAGCAACCTCAGCGTTCGGTCATTTCCAGTAAGGTACCGGACATGACCGGACACGTCCGGTCGGATGCGATCGGACGCAGCACCAGCGTCCGGTCACTCTTAGCTTTTCTGCTCTGCCTGCGTCACCATACGTCAGCTCTGACCGGACGTAGGACCCCAGCGTCCGGTCCACTCTGTGAGACCCTGTCTTTTCTGTTTAGGGCGCCGGTGGCACCGTTGGACTGTCCGCACTCTACGAACGGACACTCCGCCGGTGGAGTTTCTCCTTTTGCCTCCATTTCTTCACCGAGTTGATCCACATCAACTCCAACTTCATCTCCTTTGTAAATGTGCCAACCTCACCAATTGTACACCACCATGTGTATGTGTGTTAGCATTTTCACAATCATTTTCAAAGGATTAGCCACTCAACTTGCCACGCCACTCGATCCTAGCAACGATGCAAAGTTAGATCACTCGAGTGGCACTAGATGACCAATATGCAAACAAGTTTGCCCCTCAATGGCCATCTATTCTAAATCTGGTCATAAACTTCTCTACACACCTATGACCGGTGAAATGAAATACCCTAGGTTATACCTTTGCCTTGCGCATTCTATTCTATCTCCTCCAACATCGATGCAATACATGCACCAACACGATCAACAATGATATGATCCACTTCATATCATCACGTGATCATATTGGTTCATCGATCTTAACTTCACTTGCTCTTCACCGTTGCCATCGTCCATCGGCGCCAAGTCTTGCTTAAGCTTCACCGCCACACGGTCCATCACTCCAAAGCCTCCGACTTGCCCTTCATGCTTGCAACCGGTCCATCAAGCCAAGTCTTGTCTTGATCTTCTCCACCTTGATCACATGACTCAATGTCATGTCTCATTTGCAATAAGCTCCTTCATCATCACATGTGTGAGCTTTGCAACATCTCCAAGCCATTGTCACCTTCATGGCATATGTTGCTCACACACATGTACCTATGGACTACTCACCTGTGTATCTCATATAAACACAATTAGTCCACATAGGTTGTCACTCAATTACCAAAACCAAATAAGAACCTTTCAAAAGATCAGCTCAGAATTTAAAATAAAAAGCTATTAATAATTTCCTAAGAAAAAGATAAATGAATTCCATCGCGTGGCCCACAACTCGCGGCGCGCACGCGAAACGGCCCGCGGACGCGGCCCACGCGACGTCGGCCCACCCACGAGGCGGCCCGTGGTGGGGGAGCCCACGCGCTGGCGTTTTTGCAAAAGAGACCTCGAATTTCTACCGAACTACAACTAAGTCCTAACACTATTTTCTTCCTCTCTCTGGTGAATTCATTTAACCCCCTAAGTTTTTCCTAATTCACCCGCGCACACCCTCGGCAACTCTGAATGGTGGTGCGGCGAGCGGCGGCACCAGGTGACTACGCCGGCCACCTGGGACCCGCGTGAGCCTATCTAACGGGTCGATCACCATCTCCAACCTAGATGACTACGCGAAGCAGCGGTGAGGGATGGCGGGGTTCACTGGGGAAGGCTGCAGCGGTGCGCGGCCATCCACGATGGCGGCGCAACGGTTCCGGTGAACATGGACAGCTACCGGCTTAACCATCTAGCGTGCGAGCAGTAGGGGCTCACCGTGGACCTGGCTGAGGTGACGGTACGGCCAGGGACTGCCCGAGCGAGGCCGGCCATGTGAGACCAAGTGGCACGGTCGGTGCAGTGCGGCGGATATGACCGCGTCAGCAGCGCCGGGGTAGCGGTAGAGGTACGGCTAAGGAGCACAGGATGATGTAGAGGTGGAAGCGAAGCTAGCGGTGCACTTGGATTGGGTCAGGGTGGACAGATGGAGGACTACCAACGGCAATGGCCGAGCACGGCCTTATCAGCACGGCGGCGGGGAAAAACTCCAAATTAGAACTTGGCCGTGCTCGATTCAAGGCTGGGTGGGGTCAGGAGGGTCAGGTGGACTAATGGAGAAGCGAGGGACGAGTCGAATTGAGTTGAGGTGATCTAACCATGCCGAATTGGGCGAGCGGGGTCGGCCGGTCGCGGTGGCAGAGAGAGAGACGGTCAGCGCTCGGCTCATCCTCGCCTTGGCGGGACGCGAGCGGCACAATCAGGACGCACAAGCGCAGGCGCTACGGACAAGACATGCGCGCGTCCGCGACCAACACGACATGAGTGGCTATCGTGCCTTTATGGGCGAGACGACAGCGGGTACGACCATGTGCCGATGCCGTGGATACGCCAAGCGCGCGCAGCAGCGGTAGGGCCATCGCTAGGGCGAACAGCGGTGTAGAGCCGTAGGGGAGGTGCGAATGCGACGTCGAGGCGACAACAGCGCGATGCAGGGCAGCACTTGGACAGCGGTGCACTTGGATTGGGTCGGGGTGGACAGATGGAGGACTGCCCACGGCAATGGCCGAGCACGGCCTTATCGGCACGGCAGCGGGAAAAAACTCCAAATTGGAGCTTGGCCGTGCTCGCTTTAAGGCTGGGTGGGGTCGAGAGGGTCAGGTGGATTAATGGAGAAGCCAGGGACGAGTTGAATTGAGTTGAGGTGATCTTACCATGCCGAATTGGGCGAGCGGGGTCGACCGGTCGCGGTGGCAGAGAGAGAGGCAGTCAGCGCTCGGCTCGTCCTCGCCTTGGCGAAACGTGAGCGACGTGATCAGGACGCACACGCGCAGGCGCTATGGATAAGACGTGCGCGCGTCCGCGACCAACACGGCATGAGCGGCTGTCGTGCCTTTATGGGCGAGACGACAGCGGGTACGGCCATGCGCCAATGCCGTGGATACGCCAAGCGCGTGCAGCAGCAGCGGCAGGGCCACTGGCAGGGCGAACAACGTTGCAGAGCCGCAGGGGAGGTGCGAATGCGACGGCGGCGCGAGCGGCGGCGGCAGGCAGGGCACGGTGACTTCTGCTGCCGGCCTCGGCCAAGCCAAAGTGGCGACCGACCCAGCATGGCGGCCGCAGGGTGGCAGCAGCGGACGCGACCATGTGCTTGTGGCAGCGGGGGGGTGACACAAGACGCACGCGCCAAACATCCCGAGGGTGTGTCGTGCATGAATTTTAAAGCGTTGATACAAACTAAACTATTGAAGTTGGAGCTAAACCGCCTTCACTATGCTAAAGATGGTACATCAAACTACCATAAGGAACAAAAATCATAGCACTGACCTTTAGCTAAATTTTTTGAAATTAATTCACAAACATGGCATTGTCATACTGTTTTCAAACATAGAATTCTTCGAAGTCTTGAGCTGAATTTGATTTCAAGTTCCATTTCTAAACTATTAAAAATACTAGCTAGCAGTATTATTTTTTACAGCAAAAGTTGCATTGACATCTATAAAGTTTATACTTCAAACTTTATTTAAGTATTACATACATGTTCTATAGTATTTTTGCTTAATAAAAATTAATTTTCCACTCTACTTAACATAACATGAGTTATTAAATAAATTTCCAATTAACATTTTTATTTATCATTTTATGCTATAAAAAATTTATCAACATCTTCTATCATATGTAATTACATAAATACGATGCCAAGTGATTTAATAGTTTCTTTAGGCCGTAAGACTAAGGGTTACACTACAGCTGCCTCCCTCCCTCGCCTCGCAGTCGCCCCACCCCGACAAACCACAGCGCTACTCGGTCGCCGCGGCGTGACCCTGCAGCGCCCAACCCCCGCTTCCGGCCAACTCCCTCGCGGGGGCCCTCCGCCGGCCAGCGCGTCGCGCACGGCCGCCTCGGTAGCCGCGGCGCCGCCCCACAGCACCGCCACCCCGCTTGCGGCCGTCTTCCTCGCGGGGCTTCGCCCTTCCGTACCCGTGCAACGGCGACGGCCGCACCTACAGCTCCGCAACTGCGCCGCATCGCCTCCGGCCACCTCCCCCGCGAGCATCCGCCTATACGGCCCTTTCTCAAGGCAAGTGGACCACCGCCGCCCCCCTCCCGCCTCGGCGGCACCTGTGCTCCCCTTCTCCCCCTTAATTTTGTATGCTTTTCATAGCGATTAATTTTTATCTCCTACATTCCTCCGTTACCTTACTGACATCCTTCTGCCATACGGTTGTATCAACAAAAAAATTGGGAACTCTATATCATACAGTCTGTAAAGCTTGCTGCTCTGATTGCCAGAGCCATGGTCTCTTTGTCCCCATACTATAAAACTGTCGGTGTTTGCCTTCCTCAAATTAGACACTACTGCACTCCATGCTATTAGTTTGTTTTTGGTACCCTTCCTACGGCACCACATCAGAGTGCTGCCTTCCATTTTTTTTTTGTGCTGTTCCTATGACGCCGTGCACTGCTTATCTTTCATGCTCCATTTTTCGGCTCCGTTATTCAGTGCCAGAATAAATGCCTTCATTCTGAAACACAATTCAACAATATTTTGTCAGTTCCATATTATTCCTCCCTATTTTGCATAGCTTACTACCTAATTAACTTAAAATTTCATGGTAGATAGGACTTCCACCAATTATCTGCTAGATTAGTTTGCCTCAGCTTTGTTTTCATACGCATATTATGCCTCCGAATTACTGCCTCTCTCATGTACCCTTCCAATATTTCTTACAATATTTTATATTTATATACTTTAGGTGCATTTCGTACCCAACGATGAGAAAACAAGCCTCGGACTACTATTGACACATAGACAGACACCATCGCAGTCTCAGGTACCACATCGCCAGGCACTTAGGCGCCGTTCGATGATGCTTCCTGACATTGTGCCCACCACCTCTTCTCATGGTATTCCTATTCCTTTTCCCACATATGCATCTATGACACGCGGGACATGTTTCCTTACGTTGACCTCTATTTTTATTCCATTACGCTGATGCGTTTTCATCCTGTTTCCCAGAGTCCTCACCGACTCAGCAAGCTGTTACTTCTACAACGAGTCGCAAACGTACAGCACACGACGTTCTTCACAGCGATGGTTAGTTGCTAACATGTGTACCTACATTCATCTGCGTCCTTCGTTGCTTCGTATATTGACAGCTAAAAAATCTGTGTGTATGTTCTTCAGGCGTCGTTCATTGCTTCGTATATTCACAGCCAAAAAAACTGTGTGTATGTTCTTCGTTGTGTTCCTAATGCAGACGTCTCATCTTTTGCACCAAATTCATCTCTTCCAGATTTGCCGCCACCAACTGTAACTGAAGAATGCTCTGCTATTCAGATGTCAGGCTCTTCAAGAAGTACCCGCCGTCGGGTTTTGGTTGCTCAGACGAATGCCACGACAGATCCTACTTCTCAGTGCTTGGATCCACACACACACGACAGGACAGATCCTGCTTCTCAGTGGTCCAATCGACACAAATGTAAGACTCTTCTCTCAGAATATTTTTCCTTTGCAAATTTAGTCATGCTACATGTGAGAATTCCATATTTCTTTGTACGTAGACATGGTCACATATGGCTTCAGGCCATACTCCATAAATCAAACACATCATTGCCAAGATTGATTCTTTATACATGTTGCTCATCTCCTGCACATAAACAGCTAACTGTCTACATTTGGTTACCTAAAATTAATTATTTGTACATTTCTGTGTTCCTTCTACAAATTATAGGCACTGTTTCCTCTCCTCTTCATCTGGGAGGACCAAACAATGTGTGCCCACATTGCGGTGCTCTGTTTTGGACTGAGGAACGTGTCCGTGGCCGTGGTACTCAACAGCCAATTTACAATAAGTGTTGTACAGGTGGCAGGATTGTTCTTCCTCCATACAGAACACCGCCCGAGCCCTTGCTTGGCCTTCTGAATTCGCGGGACAGTAAACTGTCCAACCACTTCTTTGATGGCATTAGATGTTACAATTCCATGTTTGCTATGACATCTATGGGTGTTCATGTTATAAATTCTATTAACGATGGCCGAGGACCTTATGTGTTCAAGATCAGTGGCCAGCTATGCCACCGGATAGGATCGCTAATGCCATCGGGTGGTAAAAGGCCAGAGTATTGTCAGCTCTACATCTTTGATACCGAAAATGAAGTTAGGAATAGAATGGCTGTTTCTTCACATGAAAATGGTACTTTCCGACCAAATGAAGCTATTGTGGCTTCTTTGCTGACCATGCTTGATTCTCACAATCCAGTCATCCGGGCTTTCCGTATTGCTCGAGATAGACTATTGAATGAAACTGATGATAGATGCTCTCTCAAGATATTCAGTTCTCCAAAACAACACCGTAATATCTACAGTGCTTCTGTTGCAGCGGAGGTTGTTGGCCTGGTGACTAATGATCTCGGAATATCTGATGAGGGTCGAGACTTGGTGGTCCAGGATCATGCATCCAACCTGCAGAGAATAAAGGAAACACACTGTAAGTTTATGGCAATGCAATACCCAATATTATTTCCCTATGGTGAGGATGGTTTCCATGATAAATTGAAATACCATGACTGCCGCCAGTCAACGGCAATTAAACGGGAAAATGTCACTATGTTAGAATTTTTACATATAGATTGCATGATAGACTGAATGACTTCAATACCCCTCTACGTGGAAAAAAACTCACCCAAGCTTATATTGTTGATGCTTATTGCTATGTTGAGGATGGCCGACTAAGCCTCAGAAGGGTGAAAATAGTGTTTGTAGGGGATCAAGAACGCTCACCACGACATGATTGATCAACCGATAGAAGTGATGACGTGATGGAGCTCGGCGCAGGCGATGACGACGACCATGGCGGCTCGGACCGGTGGCGCGACGGCGTTGGTGTACCCAGAGGATGAAACGATCAACCAGTAACCCTATGAGCATCAGGGAGGCATAAGGAGCTCAAAACAGACGAGACAAGGGAGGGATATGCCTCACATATGGCTGACCACGGCGAGGTGACCTCGGCGACCATGGCGACTCAGCCGCGGCGAAATTCGAGCGCTTGGGCGATACAAACCGGTAGCAGTAGGGCAAACGGGTAGGAAGCATCGCAAGAATCAAGCGAGGCTCTGGGGAAAAAGAATTGACTTGAGACTGCTCGGTTGAGGCCAATCTTGCCGGCGAGCAGAGGATGACCGATGGCGGCGCTGCGAGGAAGAACAAGAAAAGCAGAGGCAGCGTCGGCGCTTGGCTTTAAAGCTCGGCCACGGACACGAAGACGACGCGCAGCAGCTTCTCCAAGCCAGCACGGAGCCGAAGGCAGCCACGGCGACGACTGGAAGACGATCGAAGATCACCGACGGTGAGGTGGCTTCTGCAGTTACTGTTCATCATATTTACAGAATTGCCCTTCGCCAAATTTCTCAAATTACTCCAAAAAATGCATGGTAACTCAAAAATCTCCAAAAATAAAAGTTGTTCCAAATTCAAAGTTCTACAACTTTGCTTTTATAACCATACCCAAATTCGGTCTACATTTTGAAATGCAAGTTTGAATTCAAAAAGGGGACATTTAAAGAATTACACCTTTTCAAATTACTTCAAATTTTATAAAACAACTTTGAAAACTCCAAAAACAAACTTTGTACAACTCAACAAGCTCTACACTTTTGTTTTAAGGCTCAACCCCAAAATGTGCTTAGATTTTGAAATGGGCTTTCCAGGGCAAACTTAAATGCTGGAAATTCGGGTTTTCGAAAATCCAATTAAACACAAATGTTTTGAAATTGATTCATCCATACAAGTCAACACATATAACACAAAAGTAAACTTGTTTTAGTGAATGCATAACAAAGTTTTCATAATTATTGATATTAACATTATTTCATGTAATATATAAAACACTCCATAAATAACATTGGCATGCTATATTATAAACACGAAATGCATTCATGAGTTGATGCATGATGATTATGCATAATGATGACATGATTAAAGTTTTATTAAGTGCTAAACATCTGGGATGTTACAACTGTCCAAGCCGACAACGGCACTGAGTTCGTAAACAATACCCTCCGTACTCTCTTTGCTTCCCGTGGTATTCATTTACGCCTCTCGTGTTCATATACCTCCCCACAAAATGGCAAGGCTGAACGCCTTCTTCGCACATTGAACAACATCAGCCGCACGATGCTCCTACATGCACACATGCCTGCTCAGTACTGGGCTGAGGCGCTCGCCACAGCCACATACCTTCTGAACAGGCATCCATGCTCTGTTGTTCGCCACAGCATTCCATACACTCTCCTCCACAACAAATCTCCCGAGTACTCCCACTTACGTGTCTTTGGGTGTCTCTGTTATCCGAACTTGACCGCCACGGCTCGCCACAAACTCTCCCCTCGCTCCACAGCTTGTGTTTTTCTCGGCTATCCCTCTTCCCACAAGGGGTACCGCTGCCTCGACATGGCCACTAAGCGCGTCATCATCTCTCGCCATGTGGTCTTCGATGAGACTTGTTTTCCCTTCGGGCTTTACATCTCCAGGTCCTCGCCAAGCGACCTGGATTTTTTGCTTGCAGGTACTACAGTGCCGGTGCGTCCTGCATCTCTGCCCTCTGCTGCTGGGCAGTCACACCAAGGTTTCATTGAGGAGTTGACCGACGACCCCGCGATCTTGTTTCATGGCCCCGTACTGCCTGCTGCTCCTCCAGCGGCTGCCCCGGCTCCAGCTGTTGTTCACGCCGCTCCACCAGCTCGGGACATCCGGCTTGTCTACAGCCAGCATCCCCGGGCGCATGATGGGTCCTCTACAGCACCAGGATCGGCTCCTGCACCTGTCCAGCAGCCTCCTGCCCCTGTACAGCAGGCTACTGCTCCTGTACAGCAGCCACAGGTGCCCGCAGCTCCGCCAGCACCTCCCGTACAGCAGGAACGACGCATCACGCGGGCCCAGTCCGGGGCCATACCGGTTATGCGGTATGTGGGGCTCTCTGCGACAACCACTCCGTCTCCACTTCCCGCCAACTACCGTAGCGGTTTGGCTGATCCAAACTAGCGTGCGGCCGTGGCTGAGGAGTACAAGGCGCTCATCGACAACGGGACATGGCGCCTCGTGCCTCGGCCACCCGGCGCCAACGTGGTCACAGGCAAGTGGATATTCAAGCACAAGTACCACTTCGACGGTACCCTCGCCCGCCACAAGGCTCGCTGGGTGGTTCGTGGCTTCTCCCAGCGCCACGGCATCGACTACGACGAGACATTCAGCCCGGTGGTCAAACCAGCAACCATCCGGTCTGTCCTCAACATTGCTGCCTCTCGCGCCTGGCCTATTCATCAGCTAGACGTCAAGAACGCCTTTCTCCATGGACATCTGGAGGAGACCGTCTACTGCCAGCAGCCCCCAGGCTTCGTCAACCCTGTTTTTCCTGATCATGTGTGTCTGTTGCAGCGCTCCCTCTACGGCCTGAAGCAGGCTCCCCGAGCCTGGTACCAGCGTTTTGCGACATACATTCGCTAGCTCGGCTTCGTCGCCTCAACTTCCGACACCTCCCTCTTTGTCTACAAAGACGGGACTAGTATCGCCTACCTGCTTCTGTACGTCGATGACATCGTCCTTACTGTGTCCTCGACGGCATTTCTACAGCAGATCATTGGGCGCCTCCACTCTGAGTTTGCCATGACTGACCTGGGCGCACTCCATCACTTCCTCGGCATCTCCGTCACTCGCTCCGCCGACGGCTTGTTCTTATCACAGCGACAGTACGCCGTTGAGCTCCTTCAACGCGCCGGCATGGCTGAGTGTCACTCTACGACGACACCTGTTGACACTCATGCCAAGCTATCCGCCACCGCCGGTGCCCCTGTTGCTGATCCGTCCGCGTACCGGAGCCTTGCTGGCGCGCTCCAGTACCTCACGCTGACTCGTCCTGACTTGGCATACGCCGTCCAACAGGTGTGCCTCTTCATGCATGATCCCCGCGAGCCGCACCTCTCGATGATCAAGCGGATTCTACGCTACCTGAAGGGCACTCTCTCCTCCGGCCTCCACATTGGTGTCGGCCCTGTTCAGTCACTGGTCGTCTACTCCGATGCCGACTGGGCTGGCTGCCCAGATTCTCGGCGCTCCACCTCCGGCTATTGTGTCTACCTTGGCGACAATCTGATTTCTTGGTCCTCCAAGCGTCAGACCACGGTCTCCCGCTCCAGTGCAGAAGCAGAGTACCGTGCTGTTGCTCATGTGGTGGCCGAGTGCTGCTGGCTGCGCCAGCTCCTGCAGGAGCTCCACGTCTCCATTGCTTCGGCGACGGTTGTCTACTGCGACAATGTCAGCGCTGTCTACATGACAACCAACCCCGTTCATCATTGTCGCACGAAGCACATTGAGATCGATATTCACTTCGTCCGTGAGAAGGTCGCCTTGGGACAAGTTCGGGTTCTTCATGTGCCGTCCTCTCACCAGTTCACAGACATCATTTACTGAATTCAGGTCAAGTCTATGTGTCCGGGATCCTCCCGCTTAGACTGCGGGCGGGTATTAGGCAGGTCTATGTGTGATTAGCTATAATTAGCTAATATTATGTATACTTGATTGTATTCCTTGTATACCCAGCCATATTGGCTATATATATAAAGGTCACCCCCCATATTGGGTGTGAGGTGTGTCTCTACACCAGGCTCTTTTATCAGAGGGCCACGGTGGTACTACCAAAATTACCAAGATTGTGTAGCTCTTTGTCGTCGATTTGGATGCCCAGACCTCTTCGTGACTTTTACATGCAACGCTACATGGCCTGAAATAGCACTCGCCCTATCAGCTACACCGGGCCAGCACCCATCTGATCGGCCTGACATTGTTGATCGAGTATTCCAAATGAAGCTTAACCTGCTCATGGATGACATAACCAAACATTCATTTTTTGGCCCTATTCTTGGAGGTAATACGCGATTTTCACGTATACTTTTGTGTGGTACTATACGTGATGGACCACGTTCCTCCATTATTTACCATTGAATTTTTTCCTGCAGTTGTTTACACAATTGAGTTCCAAAAGAGGGGTTTGCCACGTGCACATCATCATATGGCTTAAAACCGATGGCCCCCGTACAGCCAACCAAATTGATTCTTACATATCAGCCCAGCTACCTGATCCATTACTTGATCAGGCTGGTTATGATGCTGTTTCCAAATTTATGATACATGGTCCCTGTGGTGCTATCTGTCCGACCTCTTCTTGCATGGTCGATGGGAAGTGCAGTAAGTTATATCCTAAAGACTTTTCAAGCACAACAACTGTCTCATCAAATGGTCATGTCATATATGCACAACCAAATAATGGTATCACGGTTCAAAAGAATGGCGTTCACATCGACAATTGATTCGTAGTCCCCCATAATGTCGACCTGTGTGTCAAATATGATGCACACATCAATGTTGAAAGTGTTAATCAGAACGGAATGGAGAAATACTTATTCAAGTACACAAATAAGGGCCCTGACCTTGCCAAGGTTGCCATTCAAAATAAAGAAGATCATAATGCTGCTCCAATCAATGAAATAAAACAGTACTTGGATTGCAGATGTATGACACCCAATGATGCAGCCTGGTGTCTTCTCCAGTTTGACATTCACCGCACAGATCCATCTATCGAGCGGCTGCATGCCCACCTTCCACTTGAGAACAGTATTATATATGCTGAGGATGATAATCTAGAAGAAGTGGTTTGTGATCCGCGCAACACAGTCACCAAATTGACTGCTTGGTTTGAGGCCAACAAAACACACCCACAGGCGAGGGAATTTACATATGTAGAATTTCCCGAGCATTGGACATGGCACGCTGATGGCAAGTATTGGCAACAGCGTCGCAATAATCGTGCAAAAATTGGCCGCATAACCAATATCAGCCCTAATGAAGGCGAGGTCTTCTACTTGCGTATGCTGCTGCACATAGTCAAAGGCGCGCGGTGCTACTCTGATTTAAGAAATGTTGCTGGTCACCATTACCCTACCTTCCAAGCTACCTGTGAGGCTTTAGGTTTACTTGGTGATGACCGTGAATGGTCCCATGCTATGACTGATGCAGCACATTGGGCACTCCCATATCAACTTTGTCAGCTATTTGTAACAATGCTCCTATTTTGCCAAGTCGCAAGTCCAGCAAGGTTGTTCGATGAATTTGCACAGATAATGGGAGATGACATGAGGTACCGGATTCTTCGCCTCACACCAGGAATCCCCGAGCCACTACTTCAAAGCCAAATCAGATCATATGTCCTGCTTGAATTAGACAACCTGCTAAAAAATGCCGGTTATACATTGGATCGTTTCCAACTACCGCAACCAGAGGATGGTACACCAACAGTTCTTCAGAATAGGCTGATACTGGAAGAACTCTCTTATGGTTCGGATTCTACGCTTCAATTAGCAATTGAGCAGATTGGACACTTGAATCCAAACCAGAAGCATATTTACAACACTATAGAGTATTCAGTTACAAATAAATGTGGCCAGACCTTCTTTGTTTATGGATATGGCGGGACCGGGAAGACATTTCTATGGAACACCCTACTAAATAGTATTAGAAGCCAAGGAAAAATAGCACTGGCAGTCGCCTCATCTGGAATAGCTGCGTTGCTGTTGCCCGGTGGTCGCACACCTCACTCACGTTTCAGAGTTCCATTAAACCTTCAAGAACATTCTGTGTGTCCAATAAAGAAGAACACAAAGTTAGCAGAATTGATACAACAGACTGCACTCATCATATGGGATGAAGCACCTGTCAACCATAGACATTGTTTTGAAGCCCTTGACCGTACACTTTGAGATATAATGTCATCGACAGATCATGCTTCAGCAAATAAGCAATTTGGAGGCATTACGGTTGTCCTTGGTGGAGATTTTAGGCAGACTCTTGTAATTCCCAATGGAAAAAAGCATCAAATTCTAATTGCGTCGATTACTCAGTCCTATTTGTGGCAGTCCTGCTCTGTCCTTGAATTAACAGAAAACATGAGGCTCCGGAGTCCATCGCTTTTGCCTGATGAGAAAATTGAACTTCAGCAATTTGCTGAGTGGCTTCTCTCTATTGGTACTGGTAACACACCCAATAGCACTCCTGCAGAACAACATGATACTACCTGGGTCCAAATTCCAGATTACCTGTTATTACCATCTGAAGAAAGGAACCTTACTGGCTTGATCTCTTTTGTATATGGATCAACACCGCACATCTCCAAATTACCAGATTATCTATGCGAGAGAGCAATTTTGGCTCCAACCAGAACTAGCTGCTGGCATAAATTCTCAGATTATGAGCCAGATTGCTACTGAGGAGATGTCATACTACAGCTGTGACACCATTGATGACTCATCAGCTAACTATTGCACTGTGCAATGTCTATACCCTACAGAATTTCTCAACACGATATGCATGAGCGGCTTACCAGACCATCATTTGCAGCTTAAGGTTGGTGTTCCTATAATGCTTCTTAGAAATCTAGATCCAACAAAGGGCCTCTGTAATGGAACAAGGCTCATAGTGACACAACTTACCGTATAATAGAGGCACAAATTATCACAGGAAAAGCAAAAGGAACGCTAGCTTACATTCCAAGAATAGTGGCTACTTCAACTGACCCAAAATGGCCGTTCAAAATGAAACGGCGCCAATTCCCCGTCCGTGTTTCATATGCCATGACAATAAATAAAAGTCAGGGCCAAACATTAAACAGAGTCGGTGTCTACCTACCAAGCCCTGTATTTTCTCACGGTCAATTATACGTTGCTTTCTCGCGTGTCATGTCTCCAAGAGGCCTGCGGGTCCTCATTGAAAATAATCCCCCTGGATATGAACACAGCACCCATAATGTTGTCTGCACCGAAATTTTTGAAGAGGTAAGCAATTGATGTACTCAGACTTCCGAGGTCTTCTCACAGCCCTCAATTTTCTGTACCATCAACCACGTCTATTTTTTCCTGCCTAACGCACTTCTCGCTGTTTCAGGTTCACTCCAGGGTCCCTGGTACCTCCATATGAAAATTGCATACGTTTTATGCCATCTCTACACTGCGACTTTTACTACGGTCCATGCTCCTGAACAACTCCCTTCCTTCTATGATTACAGCCGCAACAGGACTTCATTTGTCTGGTAAAATGCTTACTGTTAATAAAAGTTGTTGTTCAGTTCCTGTGATTCCTGTTGGTATCAGCTGGAGTGCATCCCACATAATTCTGATGCACTATATCATCTACCATGGCTTTTTACCTTCTGTTGGTATTTTCTCACTCATTCTGTACATCAGACATATGCAAGTCCTCACAAAAGCATCAGCAATCAAATAGGTTTTCCCTATGCCCAGTAACACTTTTCTGTACATCAGACATATAGACCTATGGAGGAGGCAAACATTAAACCAATAGCTCTTGCTTCCTCCAAAATCTGGAAGTTTTAAGATTGTGACTGTAATTTTCCCTAACATTCTCCGCTAATTATTTGTCTACCTTACTGTGCAGCCCAATGACTCTGTAAATGCTACATTACTCCCACAAAAGCATCAGCAATCGCATAGGTTTTTCCTATGCCCAGTAACACTTTTCTGTACATTAGACATATAGACCTATGGAGGAGGCAAACATTAAACCAATAGCTCTTGCTTCCTCCAAAATCTGGAATTACTGTTTTAAGAACGTGAGTGTAATTTCCCTAACATTCCCCGCTAATTATTTGTCTACCTTTCTGTGCAGCCCAATGACTCTGTAAATGGTACATTACTCCCACAAAGGTGCCAGATTGATTCAGATGCTGCACATTTGGATGCCCATGGAATCTTTCACGGTCTACGCATCTCCAGTTTCTTGGATACAATGGTCTCCATATTTTTGTAGTATGTGCTATAGAAAGACCACTATATCTATAAATTTACAGAGCCCTCACCGTCAACTTTGTACATGAATCCATACCAAACTTAGAATACATGTCAAATGTGATTTACCTAACATAAACACCTTTTTGGTCTGCCTGCACAGTTTAGACGCCTTGATGTTGCCTTAATCCTCTGACTAACCATCTTTCATGGTCACACTACCAGTTCAACAGCTTCGCCCAACCAGTGCAAAGGCCAAGACAAATTGAATTCTTCCCTTCTAGAAACGGAACAGATACGGAACCATCTGTACCTAATCTAACTAGCCTTAACATCTCTTCGGAGACATCCGACATTTTAACTAGCCTTAACCATATAACGTGCAACAACTCCGACTCCGCACCCCGTGCGAAGCACGGGTGTACCAGCTAGTTTAACTGTATTTGCGTAGGCTTACATACATCATATTATCATGTTATTACTCGATTTATTTGGATGGACACCATAAGTTTATGCCGTTGTGTGGACATAAAACAAAGCGCTAATGTGACGTAGAAGCTAAAAAGAAAAACACGATCCGTAGGGGTATACCCTTTTTTCAAGGCGTTGCTATTGAACTGAAGATTTGTGACGTCTGGAAGCTAAAAAGCCTTGTAGTCCAAGAAAATCCTTAGATCCTGGCTTTTACTGATGCATCCTGGCTTTTACCAAAGAGATGATATTTTAACAAGAGTTAAATGCATCAGCGGTACTCGAACTTGTAAGGGCACTTAGCTCCACGAACTCTCAAAATGTATTTCTAGGTCCCTTATCTTGATTTTTAGTTCACCGTAGGTTCATACCGCTTTGTCAGCAGTATCTTGCTTACGTGGCATGCCAACATGGCAGTCAATTTTACATTTAACCCCTCACGCTCATTTTGCGTCTCCTTTATTTTTTTTCCACGATTGCACACGAAGCTCGTCGGGCCATGCCCACGGGGGCTCGCCTGTGCCGGCGACAGCACGCCATGCGTAGTTGGCGGCCGAGATCACGCCCGTGCGGCACTAGCGGTCATCACGGTCCCAGTGTCGTACCGGCTGCTCCAGCGCCTGCTGCTGCACCGGTGCGTTCGGCTGTTCCACCAGTTGCTCCACCGCTCCGTTGTCGACATGAACGATGCCGTAGGGGTCAGGCCCACGAACGACGGCGGCGGCAGCTGCCCGCGCTCCACTGCGGCAAGCTCGTGCTGCTGTTGCTGATGTGACTACAGGGTTGGTGGGTCGCTGGACCCGGCAGTGGCGCGCGGGCTCAGTTTGAGCACGACCTGGAGCTCCTCCTCGACGAGGTACTCTGACGACGCCGAGTTGGGGACGCCACAAGCGAGCGGGTACGCGCGGACGGCTGCCGCAACGTCCGGGTTGGAGCGGCGGCTGCTGACGCTGCCGAGCTCCACACGGAGGAGGTCTGTGAGCGGTGGGTGGGGCAGCGCGATGGAGGCGCGGCACAGCGTGTTAGCGCACATTAGCACGTTCCTAGGCTCTCCTTGAGTCTAGCTAGTTCTGACCGAGAGATGTACATGCATACGTTCCTTGGCTCTCCTTGCATCTAGCTAGCTATGACCGTGATGTACATGTATATAGGCATAAGCCTTGATGAAATACAAACTGAGTTTTTATCATTCTTCTTTCTCACGCTTACACAGCGGACAGGATCTGGGTTCGCACGAAGCCACGGGTCCACGCAGCGGGAGTGGAAGGCACGCGAACAGGCGGGCAGGAGGCGGAGCTCGCCGTCGTCATGGAACATGCTCTAGCACACCTCACAGTCGCGCGACGACCTAGGCACCGAGGTCAGCGACGAGGCTAGCGTGAACAACACACGGCAGGAGCGCAATGAGCCGCTCCGCCTCCGCCTCTGCCACAGCTGCCGCCTCCCCTTCTCCCGCCTGGCCGTGCGTCGGCGAGCGCCACGGGTGCCCCCACCGCGGGGCGTGCCATGAGCGGGAGCGGCGGCGCCTGCGGTGGCGGCTCGAGCTTGTGCCCGCGTGCACCGGAGGCCGATGTCACGCCCCTGCAGCGCCGGCGGCCGAGCTCGTGCTTGCGCGTGACATCTTGCTTATGACAGCATGCGCCAGCACCATGTTTGCCGCATGGAGCTGCTCATTCTCTCCTCGCTGGACGATGACAACATGGCCATGGCATGTCGTTCTCCTCGCCTCTCTTGCCTACCGCCGCTCCTGCTGCGTGAGCGCACCCATACTCAGTCCCCGCGAATCACAGCGTGGCTCTCATCCATGGGTCGCGAGCTGTGGACGTGCCAGCCGAGGGGTCTTGGGTTCGAGCTTAGTGTTGGAGCTATTTCTGATGCGGTGGGTGGGCAGCCGTGCAGAGGCGGAACCAGGGGGGCAGCAGGGGCCGCGGCTCCCCAATGCGGCCAAAATCTTTTTGATCCCCCTGTGCGGCCAAGCCCACAGCCCAGCATGCAGCGTGGAAGATTTCATATCTCCATTCCGTGATTTCTGCCAGAATTGGAAGCAGAGGAAACGTCACGGACGAGAGGAGACTCGCGTCGCATCGCATTCGCAGTTTCGCACCGTACCGAGATCGGCGCCGTGGGCATCGCCGTGAGAGCGTGCGCGCCTCCCGCTCCCGCCGCCGCGGCCACGCCAGCACCCTCCGGCTCCATGGACGCCGCCCAAGCCCAGCGGAGCTGCGGAGGAGCAAGCCCTGGATGACCGGCCGCGTCGGGGGATCCACAGACCACTGCCACCTCGCTCTCCAGGCTCCGCCCCGACCTCGACGTCCTCATCGGAGGCAGCAACCGGTAGGTGCAGCAGTCTAGCCTTTTCTGTTGCGGATGAAATGAATCGATGCCACTTACAGGTGCTGCTCAGCTGCTGTTCCGTTTTAATTTGATTTGCCACTTTGACAGGGAGAAAGGCAAATCCGTTGCAGCTAAGCTTTCGGCCAATCTGAGTTCGTCCAGGTCGACACCGGCGATGCGTGCATGCTGGAGGAAGCGCTGCAGGGTCATATCAGTACGTATGTTTTAACTGATGGTATAGCTTCACATTAGCAGCAAAGGTTCTCACATGGCTTCACATTATCGGTACTCCATACATTTGTCTGGCCCTCCTTTATCGTTTTGCTGGTTTCGCCACTGCAGCCGTGGCTCATGGCTGGTGTATGGAATGGAAAAGATGAAGACGACAGTCTAGAAGAAAAGAGAGGGTCTATTTCCTTAGAGAAAAGTAAATCTAAGGGGTTAGATGTAAAAATGATTGCCATGTTGGCATACTACGTAAGCAAAATACTACGACAAAACGGTATGGACCTGTGGTGAACCAAAAATCAAGATAGGGGACTAAAAATATATTTTGAGAATTCGTGGACCTAAATAACACGCCCTTACAAGTTCGAGAACCACTGATGCATTTAACTCTTTTAACAATGCACATGCAGACAAGGGAGTCGAACTCCTAACCCGTAGGTTTGCACGATGGGTGTCCAACCACTAAACTACGCACCGTGAGGCTTTTCGGCATGGTCCCTCCTTTCCAAATTAAGTTTTAGCATTTTTATATAATATTTTTCTGCTATACACATGGATATAAGATGAGGTTAAATATATAATTTAGAAAAGTCAAAACAGGAATGATGACGCCGAGCCACCCCCTCTACCGACTAGCATCTTCAAAGCAATATATGACCTACATGTCATCTCTTTTTATTAAGTCCGACCTTGTCACAATAGGTAAGGTGGCATGACAAGTTTTATCCCGCCAAAGTGCCAAGAAGGGTGGCACAACTATCACACCAAGTAGGATGAATGCGAGGACCGAGCAAGGCTCGGCATTAGCTGAATGCGGTGTCTGAAAGCGACACTTCGATCCCCGTTACCACCGTAGGAATATTTTGTCACGCTATCGAATTAATCTCAAGAAGGATGGCAAATCAAGAGCATTGTAAAATCTTCTACAGTTGTACTTTCGTCAATAAAAGCTTCGTTATTTTGTCATGCTATAAATTAATACGGCACAATGATTAAATAAATCATTAAGTAAAAAAAAATGTCGCCAAACACCTTAGCCCTGTTTGGATATAGGGTCAGCAAATCGAATTGCGTTTAGGCAGCCCGCGGTTAAAGATCGCCGGCCACCGTAAAAAAAACTACACACAGTTCAGCCACCGGGTAATTTTTTCGCCACTCGCGGCAGGCCAACCGAGAATCGTTTTTTTTTTAATTACACACACAGTTCCGAAGAGACAACCCAAAATCGGATTTTAATCTGACACAAACAAGCAGAATCGATTTTAATCTGACACAAACAGCGCCCGCAACCAATTCGCCCACGACCCTCCAACCAATAGGGACGCGCCATGTCACGTCAACCCAACCACGTCATCTCTCACCGAAACGTCACCTACTAGTGGGTCCAACTTACTCCCCTGCCCCACGCGCCAGAGACCTATCCACTCCCCCATTCATTAATATTAATATATATATCCCAACGCGCTTCCGCTATCCTCCTTCCTCCCGTGTCTCGTCCTCTCTCTCTCCTCTTCGATTCCCAATTTGAAGGCTGCCCATCCCTTGCGCCTGTCGGCGGGGCGGCGGCGGCGGTGAGGATAGAGGGTTACCTGAGGAGGCGTGATGGCGGCCTCGGCTAAGTACAACCGGAGCAACCCGGCGGTGAAGCGGATCCTACAGGAGGTCAAGGAGATGCAGTCCAACCCCTCACCCGACTTCATGGCACTCCCCCTCGAGGTCTCAATCTCAACCCCATCGCTCACTTTAATAACGAAATTTGCCCGATCTGATCCTATTCAGGCCTTAATCGAATGTCGACTGATTATTGATTGTATTTCCTCGTATTGTGGTGTTTGGTGTTTTAGGGTCTCGATAATTTGTTGACCGGTTTGCTTTTTTTTTTCTAGATCTGTTAATTCAACTGGTAATGCGATCAATTAGCAGTAGGACCTTGCCGTTTAGTAGTTGATTGCGGATCAAGTGGAGTATGTTTTAAATTTCATCTCTGAAGGAAGGGAATATTTTTGGCAAGATATCTCAATATGCGAATTTTCGATTGACACTGATAAGCTTTACAATACATTCATTTGAGCAGGAGGACATCTTCGAGTGGCAATTTGCTATCCTTGGCCCGAGAGAGAGCGAATTTGAGGGTGGAATCTATCATGGCAGGATCCAGCTATCCTCGGATTATCCATTCAAGCCACCGTCCTTCATGCTACTTACGGTAGTATCTGTGTTCTAGTTGCCCACTGTTATCTCACTACAATGTTTGTGAGCTGTTGCTGACTTCACTATGTGCTGCAGCCAAGTGGACGCTTTGAGATTCAGAAGAAGATTTGTTTGAGCATATCTAATTACCACCCGGAGCACTGGCAGCCTTCATGGAGTGGTGAGTAACCTTTCGTCTTTTGTTTATAAATGACTGTTTGCTAAAGACCCCTCTAATAAGTTGAAAGGCACCATTATTCATCGTCCACTTTTATATGGTTTTGTGGGCTATACGAGCATGGTGCAAAATAAATTTCTTTTTCTTTTGGTCTTTGGATTTCCATCAGGCAAGTACTTGCCTTAGGGCTAGGCCAAAACTAAATATGTTTCTTCATTCTTAAGATTAATATATGAATAGTACCCTAGTTGGTACTAGGGTTGGTTTGCTTCTGAGAGTATGGAATTTTGTAATGCTTTTTTGGTGGGCAGTTTTCAGTGCCATTAGGTCGTTACTTGAGAGGCATCAGGTGTGTATATGTGCAACACTACAGTTCATATTAGTCTTCCATTGTCTTGCTTTTCTTCACTCATGCATGCTTTGAACTCCCTTCTTTTGTATTCACTAGCTATAGCAATACATATCAGTGATTTAATACTCTTTCATAAATTGGCACCATTTTTTTCATAGTGCACATACATATGTTATGTACACTATACGAGCATGGTGCAAAAGAAAATGGTTCTTTGGTTCTTAAGGAATTGTCCTGCGGCAAGTATTTATCTGTTTGGCCAGACCAAAGGAGGAACATATACTTTCTATGTATGTTTTGTTTACTTTTAGTTGGGAACTATTAAGGGCTTGTTTGCTTCACACCCTGCTAGGCAGCAATCCTGGCCCCACCTGAAATCGGATGCCTGGGGTTGATTCCTGCACTGGGCAGCTTTGCCTGGGAGCCAAGCAAACAGCCCCTAATGCATGTTGGAGTATGTTGTACATTCACTAAATTAGTATGACCCTATCTATAAAGCACTCAATGTTTTTGACATTTGGTTTTCAACTCAACAATTTGTCGATAGCAGTTTTTTTAGTTTATTTGCATTTCAATTGGAATGGTTTTTTCTTGTTCAGTTGCTATAATTTGGAAATAGGCGAAATAGTTAATTTGATATTTGTTAATTCCGCATGCTTCTTTGTAAATGAGCTTGGTGCTGTATTTGCAAATCATCAGATGGTGACTATTATGGAATACATTTGGTTATTCAATGTGAAATGGTTTGATTTTGTGTTACAGAAGTTTTAACTTTTAAGTGCTAAACTAAACAAGTCTTGTTGCAGTCCGCACAGCGTTGGTAGCCTTGATTGCATTCATGCCAACGAACCCTGGTGGGGCATTGGGCTCGCTGGATTACAAAAAGGAAGATAGACGAGCACTTGCTATAAAATCACGTGAAGCGCCGCCAAAATTTGGCTCCCCAGAGCGTCAGAAACTAATTGATGAGGTAATTCCTAGTCGAACCTCAGGCTCAAAATGTGTGCCATTTCTCTATCTTTTAACGACGTACTGTTTCTACCACAGATCCATGAGCAAATGCTCAGTAAGGCTCCTTCTGTCCCCCAAGCGTTACCAAATGTGCCAAACGAGGAGTCTAACCGATTACCCGCACCTGACTCTTCTGATGAGCATGCGGACAAGGTAGATGAAGGTGACTACACATCTGGGTCAATGTCAGGCTCTTTGAGTGGCCATCCTGTGCCTGAATCTGAATCGTCGGTTGCAGAAAACACTGGTGAAGGCTCAGCAGTTGAGGTTGCCAACCATCATGTGCCTGAAGCGAGCCGTAGAGAAAACATTCCAAGAGTTCCTTCGTCTCTGCAGAATCCTGCTGTTGCAATCCAGAAGCCAAAGCATGACAGGCTATTGACCTTGGCCGCATTTGGGCTGACTCTTGCTATTATGGCACTTGTGATCAAGAAATTCTTAAAAATAAATGGCTTGGGCGGTTTCATTGAGGGCAAGTTCTGAGTAGGGATTGTGCACAAGTTGGATGTAAGAGATGACTCATTCCTCTTACTGAGCATATGCTATAAGCTATATAACCCCGTAAGATTTGTAAATGGCTGTTGTTTAGTTATAATAGATGAAATCAAAATGGGACGGTACTATTAATACCCCCTTGTATGTAGTACACTTGATGGAAAATTGCTGAGTTTTGAAGCATCTGATCTGATGTATATGTTTGCTACAGCGTGCACTTTGTTTGGCTGCCGTTAAGACCAGAATCCTCAATTCACAATCTCCCTCTGGAGGGTTTTGTTGATTAAGAATTTCATGTATATGTTTGCTACAGCGTGCACTTTGTTTGTGTTGCAGAACCTGAGTTGGCACTCCGAACAAAAAGATGGTCAATAGCATGGTTTTCCAAACCCAGCTGGTTCCATCCGTGTTTTCCTCTTCTATAGGGCCTCTTTGGAACACGGGAAACTTTCACATTTCTTGTGTTTTTTCGAAAATGAACTAATAGTTTCCCGTCAATGAAAATGAACCGATTCCTGGAATGGTGAAATTCCTGTGTTTCAAATAGGTCCTAAAACATAAGTTATCACTGTTACCTGTTGACCTAAAACAGAAGATTTCAGTCGTGTAGAAAAGGAAGACATCCCTGTGATAAATATCGGTAATGCTGCGGTGCGGGCATATGTTCGGACGACGCCTTCCAACTCCACCAGCTGTGCGCACGTTATGCTTCTGTCAGATCCAGTCCACTCCCACTCTCCCCAAGTCTAGCAGTCAAAACATAGCCCCGATGGCGTCTTCGCCCCACTCAATCGAGGTCCGGACCCCCGGCGACTCACCGCAGCCCACCGCCGTTCTCCTCTCCCCCTCTGTGGTGCACCCTAGCCTCCTGCTCCTCCTCAACATGGCCCTCGCTGCCGCCATGGCCTTCGTCCTGCTCCACCCACCCCTCACCGTCGTGACCGTGACGTCCGCTGCCACGTGGGCGCTCTCCAAGCTCCCCAAACCCGTGGTGTTGCTCATATCCTTAGATGGCTTCCGCTTCGGGTACAGGTACAAGGTCCCTCTCCCCCGCATACGTCGCCTCATCGCATGCGCCGGCACTGGCATCCTCATCATCTCCTCCTGCGGTTAGAGATGGCAAGGACGTCGTGGTCGTGCAGTACTTCGCGACCGCTGGCATCCTCATCATCTCCTCCTGCGGTTAGAGATGGCAAGGACGTCGTGGTCGTGCCGTACTTCGCGACCGCCTTGAGGCTCGCTAGACATGGTGGTCGCCACCCACTAGAGTGTCGCGCTTGACATGTTGCAAGCATAAGTTTCAAGTGTTTTAGATGTTTCAGAGATATGTTGCAAGTCTTTCATGCGGATGTTGCAAAAGTAGATCGGGATGTTGCATATATTGCAATGGTCATACACATATATTGCAAGCATTTGTTCCAAATGTTTCATCTGTTTTTCCAGGCTATGTTGCAAGTGTGCTTATTTGGATGTTGCATATGTTTTACAATGATTTTCATATGTTTTTGCAAGTGTTTCATATGCATATTTCAAGTGTTTCATCTGTCTTCGGATGTATGTTGCAAATATTGCATCTAGATGTTGCAAAAGTAGATCGGGTGTTACATCTCCCTCACCATTTTTTGTTGACTCGCCTCGGTGTCTCTCTCTCCCAGGCCAGCGCGGCTAGGCATCCACCACACACTCCCCCTCCTCTCGATGCCGGTGACGTTCAATGCGGAGGCCCGGACACTTCAAACAAACTGCAGACGTCGACGTCCAGACAGCCGTCCGTCCAGACGCCAGTAAGCCCGATAAAACATGTCATTCGCAATTCCAAACGGAAGACATCCCTGTTATTGATGGAGTACATAGGCGGGGAAACCAATTCTTTAATACTGTTAATTTAATTCCAATGTCCATCGCCAAGAATGGATATCCTAACCGTAGATCTTTTTTTTTTTTTACAATCTTTGACGCCTCTGGATGTAGAATATTAGTATGTAGCCAGGCTCTTTAATATTGTTAATTTGATTCCAATCTCCATCGCCAAGGATGGATATCCTAACCGTAATCTTGTTTTTTACAATCTTTTGACGCCTCTGGGTGTAGAATATTTATGTAGCCAGGCTAATAGAAACACCGCAGTGCAAACTCAGTTCCAACAGAAACGTTGATACAATAAACAAAAATGTTTGACGGAGTTCTAGCACACTTCATGACTAACTGGAAGCTGGAAGTGGTTGAAGGGCCTTGAGGGGATTCATGACTACTCCATCAATAAGGCCATACTCCTTTGCTTCTTTCGCGCTCATAAAGTAGTCGCGGTCAGTATCTACATTGATCTTATCCAGGGGCTGCCCAGTGTGGTATGCAAGGTATCCATTTAAGTTAGCCTTGTGGTGCAGCATCTCATTAGCCTGAAGAAAATAATCAGAAACTTGAGGATCAGCAACTGCTGGTGTAAATAACAATTGTAATTCTTACTCGGTTGCCAAAAGCGGGGCTCATTGGCCTGTAACAATAACAATATTGCAATATATAGAGATAAAAAATGCAATATATAACAACCGGAAGCCCAGCTGAGTATGAAAATCAGAAAATAAGGATCTTTGTTGAGAAGAAATGAGAACTGAGAATATCTTTGGTTAAGATGCTGTGCTGGTCTAGAAAAAGCATGACATTTTCCATAGTCCCACATTGCGAGTTTACCTGAATTTCAAGATCAGTCTCCTGTCCTTGGGCCCCTCCAAGAGGTTGATGGATCATTATCCTCGAGTTTGGTAAGCTGTATCGCTTTCCTGCATTATATTTTCACCAATTTTATGACTTCTATAATGAAGCTTGGATATGTAAGTTACACCTACATGTATTTTATTAGCAATCACTACTGTTACCTTTGGTCCCAGCACTAAGTAGAAAAGCTCCCATACTGCCAAAAGGAAACATCAAACAGCAGAAAGAGTGTAAGAATCTCCAGGTAATAAAAGATAACATTGAGGCATGACATAATTTGGAGTTAAACAATAATAAGAAATGATCACAGAATCTCAGTAATAAATAATAAACATGTTCACACCAACAAACCGTAAAACTGAAACACAAATTAGATCTCTAACATTCTATATTTAATTATCTATGGCAACACTAAAATATTAAATACTAAAAGCAGGAATACATAATGCTTATTTCGTGAAAGCATACTTCATTCGTACCTTTTATTCATAGCAGAACTACATGTACCAAAATTAGAATGGAAATTAAATTACTAGGCATTTCTGTGCAGATAATCACTGAGCATGCTTGCTACAAAAGGTGAATTTGCTGAATAATAACCTCAACACAGGGCAAGTATGCAAAATAAAAAGCACATTGCTGCTTTATCCATCTGGAGTTGACAATTGTGTAATTTGAGAACTCACCTACTTAACTGAAGATACGGTACTATGGTAGTTTAAAAAACTCACGCCATGCAAGTCTTGTCTGCGAACAAGAACTATACTAGCACAACCAAGGCCATAAACATTCTAGTTACTACAGTCCCAAATCCCAGACTAAGCAGGTTACTATGAACTGAACATTTCAATTACTGCAAACACAAAGGATGAATTGTGCTTTCCACATTGAGAACAGAATGAACTACATAGGGAAAATAAATCCAGACTGAAATAGTCAAACATGAAGATGAAGATCATGAACAAAGCACTGAATCAATTGATGATCATTCAGCAGAATTTGTGTTCAGTACCTTGCAGCTAGTCCGATACAAACAGTGGATACATCAGGCCTGATGTGCTTCATTGTATCAAATATAGCCATTCCTAACAGAAAACGAAAATGCATTAGTATTTAACTGAAGCAGCTAACGCAAACACACTATGTTAGATGAGCTATTACCAGCTGTCACTGACCCTCCTGGCGAATTCACATACATAATGATATCCTACAGGAAAATTGACAAGAATCAAGCACTAGATGGAAGTAAGAAACCATGTTTGAATATATAATTGTTATGTAGTTGAGTCCCTAGCTAGATGAAATGGCAACATTGGCTAAACCTACAAGTTCAGTGGTCACAATGGTATAACCCAATTGCGCACCACAGAAAGTTAAAGAAGCACTATACAAAGTTTAGTACTACAATGGTGGTTCACTGTCTGGCATCAACAAACAAAGGTTCATTGAAAGCACAAGCATGCTCTATTCACATGGGAATTACAGCAGCAAACAGTTTTCCCCTTCGTTTTCACCTTAGTGGGATCAATAGCGTCGAGGTAGAGCAGCTGTGCTACAATGATGTTGGCCATATCATCCTCAACAGGGCCACCGCACCGGATAATCCTCTGCACAGAGACAGATATATAGACACATAAACCTCACAATACAATCCAGTAAAACCCATCCTAGTAAGGAGGCCAAACACTCGTACAAAATACAGTGCCATCGTACGTGCTGGAAAAGCTGACTGACGACGCTCTGGAACCGCTCCATCACCATGGGCGACGGCCCACGCTCCTGCCCCGCCGCAGACTCTACTGGGAAGTACGGCGACCTCGGCACCACCAAGTCATCCCTAACACAGGCACAAGCAACATCAGAAACCCCGTGGCACCTAACGAAGCCCATTTCAGGCAGACGGCGCGAAGCTCGAAGGGGCTCAAGACAAATTCCACCTGATCGACCAAATCCCGCGCCGCGGAGCAGCCCCGTAAGGCACCGCGCCTCCGGCTACAGCGGCAGTCACGGCACGAGCGCACCTCCTGCTCCTGCAAGATGCGGATGGAAAGTTAGGGCCGGCAGAGAGGGCGGGAAGAGGAAGGCGAAGGAAGAGGACAGAAACCTGAGGAGTTGGAGAGATCTGGGAGTGGGGTTGGTATTGGGGTTCGGGCGGAGGAGAGGAGTGGTCAGCGAGGAGGAAGAGGTGGCGGTGGCGGTTGCCATGGATGGGACCGGATGGGAGTGGGAGCTCGCGTGGGGTTTTGGGCGGAGGGGGCTTTGGTTTGTTAGCCCTCGTCTCTTATCCGCGAGGCCAGAAGAGTGGTAACTGGTATTCTGGTAATAAGAGAGAAGGGTCCCGGGGTCACTGGGGAAAGTGAAAGCGTGGGCTTAGCGATATGGGCTTTGGCCCTTTCGGCCTCGTCCACACTTGGAGGAAACGCGCGAGAGAGAGCATTGAAGCATGCCATTTTTTTTTAGAAGCTGGGGTGAATGTTTTTTTAAGAAAAGAGAATATATTAATATTTTATCTTCATGACTAATGTATATAGCTGCTCCTTATTACAAACACAAGCACTACGGTCCACGCAATCTCAAACACAAAGTTTTGATCCAAAGTGAATAAAAACAAGTTTCTAAACTCAACATCTATAGAGCAATTCTATTACTAAATCTCCAACCGTGTCTTGCAAACACCTCCATCACGGTTATCTCAATATTCCTGCATCCCATCTTCATCATTTGGCGAACCTCCTTCTGAAATAGGGATCAGGGCCTGGTCCAGTAGATCCCCTAAAGATAACCTGCAAATAGGATGGTGCTCCGGCCTTGTCAAAAAATATATCATTCCGAGTTAACCAAATCGCCTAACAAATTGCACTTGCACCCACAAGAATCTTAGATTTCAGTTTCATATTTATTCCGTCTAACCAGCCTGTAAACAAATTGTGAACGCTAGTTGGAGGTAATAAATTAAAGAAAACATGAACAGTTAGTCACACGAATTTAGCAAAATGACAGTCAAAGAAAAATGTTATATAGACTCGTCAGAAGAACAGAAATAACACTTTCTATCTCCTTGCCACTGTCGCCTTACTAAATTGTCCTTTGTTAAGATTACTCTCTTATACAAGTACAAAAAAAACTTTGATTTTGACAGGTAATTTTAGTTTCCAAATAAAAGTGTTATAGGGTGCAGCAATAAGGCTCTGTACATGGATTTAACCAAAAATAATCCATTCTGGTGTAGCCCCCACACAAAGTGATCCCTTTGATTTGTTAATTGTATATTGAGCACCATTGCAACCACGTCGTGCCATGCTCGTAAATTAACCCATACTAGAGATCTCCTAAAAGCTACATTTAACAGTGTCGTGGATAACACCGTTCTTACAGAAGCACTTTTTTTTTCCTAACAATGTTATATAGTGCAGGAAAGATAGATTTTAGTGGATGCAATCTTATCCACGAGTCCTCCCAAAATCGCACCTGAGACCCGTCACCTAGATCAAACTTGCCTAGCGAGAGAAACTCCCCCTTGACCTTCATGAGGCTAGCCCAAAACTGAGAATCTCCGGGCATGTATTGAACCTGTGTCAAAGTTTTGTCGCTAAGATATTTATTCCTAAGTATCTGTTGTCGTACTCCATCTCCATTAATCAGCTTAAAAAGTCATTTGCTTAGGAGACACTTGTCGTGGATATCTAAATTTAAAACTCCCAACCCTCCTTGGTCTTTTGGAGTACAAACTACCTCCCACTTGGTCTTTCGGAGTACAAACTACCTCCCACTTAGTCAACCTATACTTTTTCTTGTTGTCATCATTCTGCCAGAAAAAACGTGATATGAAGTAATCGAGCTTCTTTGGAACCCCTCAGGTACTTAAAAAAAAGAGAGCATGAACATGGGGAGACTACTCAAAATAGAATTAATCAAAACTAGCCTCCCTCCCACCGACAACATCTTACTTCTTCAACAGTCCAGCCTTTTTTGAAATCTTTCTTCGACATGTTTCAATCCTTATTCAAGAGTTTTCTATGGTGCATAGGAATTCCTATATATCGAAAGGGATACGACCCCAAATCACACCAAAAAATATGTGTATATTCAATTTGTCTAGCTCTGGCTGCTCCGTAGCAAAACATCTCACTTTTATGAAAAATGATGTTGAGTCCTGATAACTGTTCAAAAGCACAAAAAGCTTCATATTTTTTGCCCTCTCTAGATCATTATCCTTGAAGATGACAGTGTCATCTGCATATTGAAGGATCGAAAGTCCCTCATCTACCAAATGCGGAACAACCCCTTGGATTCGTCCTGTCTCTTTGGCTCGTGAAATAAGGACAGCCATCATATCAACCACTATATTAAACAAAATCGGAGATAACGGATCCCCTTGCCGTACTCATTCCTAGTTTGAAAGAAATGTCCTATATTATCATTGACCTTTACTGCAACACTCCCTCTAGTCATGACTTTTGAAATCCATTCACACCAAGTTGGTGAGAATCCTTTTATCCTGAGAATTTGTTGCACAAAAGGCCACTTTAATTTGTCATATGTCTTTTCAAAGTCTAGTTTTAGTATCACCCCATCCTGTTTTTTCCTATGCAATTCATGAATTATTTCATGCAAGATAAACACCTTCCATGATATAACGACCCAGAATAAAGGCTATCTGCGAAGGTCCATTATTTCATGCAAGATAACAACTCTTTATGAATTCTATTATTTAGCACGTTCGTAAAAAAAAATTAAAGCTCACGTTTAATAAACATATAGGTCTGTATTATTGTATCTAGGCTGCATCAGCAATCTTTGGTAGCATCATGATTACTCCAAAATTAAGGCTATGAATCGGCAGCCTCCCCACATGGAATTCATAAAAAAGACTCATTAGATTCGGCTTCATAATCTCCCAAAAGAATTGGTAAAATTCAGTAGGAAAACCATCCGGACCAGGTGCCTTCTTATGTTCCGTGTCAAAGACTGCCGTTTTAACATCCTCTTCGCTGAATGGAGCCATCAATACCTCATTCTCCTCCTCTGATACTTGTGGTATATCATAACTCAAAGTCTCGTTCATTGAGAAATAATTTTATGTACGAGGTCCACAGTCCTTTATAGTAATCAGCTATATAATTTTTCAAATTACCATCCCCAACAATAGTTCCTTCTTCTTACTCTAATTGTATAATTTTTGTTTTCCTGTGTCTTCCATTTGCCACCATGTGGAAGTACTTAGTATTATCATCCCCTTGCAATAACTTTGTTGCTTTAGATCGTTGGAGCCAGTAAATTTCCTCCTCTCTTAGCAACTTAGTTAATTGCCCTTTGAGATGATGTCTAAGCTCCACTTCTTGAGGTGACAACAAAATTGTCTCTGCCTTTCTATCCAACACATCTATCTTAGCCAACAGATTAGATTTATCCCTTCTATTTTGAGAAACCAAATTCCTAACCCAACCTCCGAGGAAACGTTGCACTCTTCTAATTTTGTTTTGCCACTGTTCCATTGGTGACCGACCCCTATTCTCAGATTCCCAAACCCCTTTCACCAGATAAAAAAACCCATTTCTTGTTAGCCACGCTAGCTCGAATTTAAAATTCCTAGCATTGCCACGGTGAGACGGTACGCCACCATCTAGTAATAGGGGTGTATGATCTGAGATCTCCCGGGTCAACGCCTGGACAGAGACTAGCGGAAATTTTTGCTCCTATTTTGTTGTTACTAAGATACGGTCCAACTTTTCAAATGTTGGAACCTCCGCATAGTTAGCCCACGTGTATTTCCTTCCCGTCATCTCCAATTCTCTTAAGTTCAAGGTTTCAATAATAGCGTTAAACAAAAGTGGTCATTTATCGTTATATCTTGAATTGTTTTTTTTCCGAAGGGTTTTTGATGATATTAAACTCTCCCCCTACTAAGAAGGATAGATTCCCACAGTTAGAACATGTTCATACTAAGATAAAAATTGTTCTTTATATTCATCTTGTGCCGCCCCATAAACAGACAAAAGTGTCCAACGAAAACCATCCACTTTATTTTTTAGATAAACTTAATGTGAAATTCACCATCCTCAATACTCTCTACTTCAAAAAACTCTTGATTTATTCCCATTAGCATTCCCTCGGACATACCTCGAGGGCATCGCCAATGCCAAACAAAATCCCCCCAAAAAAAATTCTAAACACTGAGTCGAGTACTATTTTTTGTTGGTTTCTGATAAAGCTATAAAATCAAGTTTACTGTCTAGCCACATCATGTAAGAATGTATGTTTAGCTAAGTCACGCAGTCCTCTGCAATTCCAGAATACACCTTTCATTAGAATAAAATTTTTGTTTTTTTTTTCAAGGCTGCATTCTTATTAAGGAATTTCAATTTCTTTTTACTTTTTACCACCTTGTTGGGCACATTAACAAGTACACCATCAAGGTCCGCATTATTATCCGTTAAATCGCCGTAGAGTCGACTAAGGCCCGTTCGCTTGTCTTAAAAATAGCTTGTTCGGCTTCTTTTTTCAGCCGGAACAGTGTTTTTCTCTCACAACAATCCAGCCGAAACAGTGTTTTTCAACCAGTTTCAGCCAAATTTCAGACCAGCGAACGGGGCCTAAAAGTGGAGGTGTTGGGATGGATCTCATCTTCCTCAAAATTCCGCTTCGGCAATACTACTAGGCTAAGCAGTGTGCCTGTGTTAACGCCGGGAGTTTTTATGGTGCCCCAAGCGGAACAACACTCCCGGCGATAGAATGAAACAACTGCATCTCCCTAGCAGAAATACTTCCCTGCTGCTTGTCGATGGAGTATTGCCGAAACCGCTACTAATTTATTCCAGTTGCGTTGCGTTAGTGGCCCATAACAGGAGTACGAGACATTTTTAGACAATACCGTGATTATGCACACAACACTTCGAGTTACGACAAACGATTTCGCAAGCATACAGAAGCTCCCTCTAAACTCCCTCTACCTCAAGAATACCTAAACGAAAGACCTCAGAACAAACGTTTTGGCAAGCATACAGGAGTGCCAAACACATTCAGTATTCTCATACAACTCAGTCTGCACAGGCGACACAGAGCTCGCGACTTACAACTACAGAGGCACAGTCGTAAGATGATAGATATGCATACGCTACAGACATCTAGTAGATAGATACACATACTTACGCTACTACAACTAAAACCACGTCATAGATAAAGTGTTCCATTAGATAACCTAGTAC